AATAGGCTACCATTTTTGTATCTCCCCTTACTCTCCAACATCGCGCTCACTCCCCTTACTCTCCAGCATCGCGACCACCACCTACCACCGTGATTTGGACTCTCCGGACGCCCTCCCTCACGTCGCCACCGCGCACCGCGTGACACCCCGCCGCAAGCACCTCCACCCCACTGCAGCTTTCCACCCCACCGCGACGCTAGTCGCCACCCTCCACCGCGACGCTAGTCGCCCACCGCGACGCTAGCAGCCTCCACCCACATTGCATTGCATCCTAACGCCACCACCCCATTGCATTGCATTGCAGCCTCCAACCACATTGCATTGTCCGCTCACCACAGCCTCGACCCTAACGCCGCATTGCATCCTCCACCTCCACCCCAGTGCAGCGCTGCTCTGTTTCTCTGTGGTGCGAACCTTCATCGCTGCCTTAAACCACAGTACGATGTTGTTGCACTTATATTTGTTGGGCAAAGTCATACAATTTTACTTACTACATTTCATAGGTAGAGATTGTTAGTCATTTGCCGTTAACTCGTTGATTCAATTCTTAGTCATATTATAGTTTTTTTCAATGTATTGATGATGTGTACAATTATACTTGAACTGCTTGAATATGCCCGTGGGGCTTTTTATTGTCAGGTTTCACTGTGTCATTTAAAATTGTTGCCAAAAAACAAAGGAAACTCTACCGGATTTTTGTTAGAAATTAATCATGAAGTGTGAATTCTAAAACTACATATAACAATGTAGTTATATAAGTGATGGTAGTAACAATGAAAACTCTATAATTTCAATTTATACAAATTTGGTTTTAACCAAAAAATAGACGAAATTCTGTTGAAATTTCGTTACAAATTAATCTACTTTGGTATAGATTTCATTAGAGATAACGATTATTAGTAATAATCGTTTTATGGGTTTCTCATTTGTAGACTCCAATTCCAAAATGGATCGAAGTTGGGTAAATACAAGTCGTATTTCACAAGAGTATGAGAATGGAGTTGAAGAATTTTTGCGATTTGCCGAACACAATGGCACCAAGGTTAATGGAAAATTGTATTGTCCATGCGTTAACTGCGTTAATGGGAGAGTACACACACTAGAGACAATACGGGAACATCTGGTGTAAGCCAGGAAGAAATTTCCCCACCATCTCCTCCAAAACATCATGAAAAATGGAAGAGGGCTCGGCAAAAGCCCTCCGGTGAAATGACATCAGAGGAGGCCCGCTTGATTGCTGAGCGGATTGTAAGTGAAATTAGTTTCTTTCAACCTCATTAACCATGCTTTGTCATTCATCAATTTTTTTTTACAATATATAATGCTCAATTGTAGGATTCTTTAGAGGAGCAGTATAAACAGGGAACATTCGTTCCCCGTGGTCGTGAAGATATATTAACTACTGCTATTGGACGCCCAGAACACCCAGGGCGTGTTCGTGTTGTTGGAGCTGGTGTGGGTATTCGAGCATATTTTGGAGCTCCATCATCAGACCATACCCACACAACATCATTGAGCCAGCAGGAGATGACCAGATTGGAGGAGAGTCTAACAGCGAAGCCGAGACCAGACGATGGTTGAAGAGCCGACAGCGACGCCGACACCGACCATTACCGCACGAGTTCGGGAGGAGATGATGCGTGTATTTGGTTCAAGTCTAGCATCCATAGGTGTCACACAGCCTACCCACCCACCTATGGATGTTCCTCCTCCATCTGCCGCACGAGTTAGCACTAAGGGTAGTTGTGCTGAGTCAAATACTCGTTGATCAAGACCTTCCTGCTACTAATCAGGAGGTTGTTGTTGTTGTTGCAGACACTCGACCACTCAGGTATGTGTGGATGATATCTTAATGACAAAAATTCATGTGCATATTAAATAATTAATGTCTTATTTTTGTGTAATCGAGTCGAGTGTGAATTTTATGTTGATGAGGATGGATCTGAACCACGATTGGTGGCGGTTGGTTCAATTGAAGAGGGGGCCTCTACAATTCATAGTGTGTCTTTAGCACCTAACTTGGCCAAAGTGGTCATTGAAGAGGTTCGAGATGCTTATGCTCTTGTACTGTGCCCACGACGAGGTGATGACAGTGGGACAGGCCCTCCAGACCTTCATTGCATGGCCTAGACATCTAATCAGGCCTATTTTGAAAAAGGTTTGCATATACTTTCTGTTAATTATCATATGTAGTCTGGTACTGTTTTTTATTATTTCTCAAGTCAATGTTATTTTATGTAGGATGTTCAGAAGCCACCCCAGTTGCCTAAACTGGTTCCTACTTCCCATACTAGTAAAGGTAAGGAAGTAGATGTCCCAGAAAATCCAATTTTTCAACTACTATCTCGTTGTCCCACAGCTTGTATATTCAATCTTTTCAAGTGAAGTGGGATGTTGATAAGTTAGGGGTAGACAATAAGAACTTTCCCCTTTACATTGACCACACCGATGCTTGTGGAGATAGCAGTTGGCAATCGATGTCTAAACATAGCAGGTGTTACAATTTTGGACAATGTAAGTATTTATTTTTATTTACTAATTATGTTATTTGAAGTTGTCGTCATATTTAATGTACATTGAACTGCCTACTTTAGGATGCTCGAATGAATTGTCGGAGGAACAACGCACCCAAGATGTGTATGGATTTTTTGAGCCCCAATCCATACAAAAATCAGGAAACAAGAGAGAAGAAGTTCAAATATACATCCAAAATTGGATGATGAAGTCAAGGAAGAAAGTTTACTTGGGTGCTTACCACCATCGGTAAGTATTTAAGCGTATGAAATTATTCGTATTAAATTTTATAGTGTATTGTATTATCCTAACTTTTTGTAATGTAAGCGTAAATCATTGGCGGTTGTTGGTTGTTTGCCCAAAGCAGAATGTTGTGGCTTGGTTCCGCTCACTGGGCAAGAAACCTGATGCAGATCTTAAAAACATTGTAAACATGTACACATTCTTATAATAATTTAAACAATTATTAATTGTTTTGTTACTTAATTGTTTAATTATATCTTGTATTGCATAGTGCATTTAAGGTTTGCAATACAATTGATGGAGTACACACAAGCAAAAGCACGACTCAGATTGGATTTTTGTTAATGTAAGTCCTTTTATATTTATGTATTATATCATTCATTTTATATGTCAAATTAATATATTATTTTTTGTAGTGTAATAGGCAACCAGGATCTTATGAGTGCAGATATTATGTTATGCACTGGATGTGGCTGATTGTTGTTAGCAAGATTGAGGATACATGGAATCAAGTTTGCTTAAATTTAGTATTCAATAAAAGACCCAGTATTGTGTCATTGGATACTCTGTTAAATTATTTTTTTTCTTGTAACAGGTATTTTCAGACAGGGAAGCATTGTCATTGACGATATTAGAAACACATGGGCCGATAAGTTTGTTAAAGTTAGAAGTAGGCAAGTTTAGTTATTAATTTAGTACTTAGTTTAGTAGTTAGTTTAGTAGTTAGTTTAGTTGTTAGTTTAGTAGTTAGTTTAGTTACTTTACTAGTTAGTTTACTAGTTAGTTTATTAGTTAGATTAGTAGTTAGTGTATTTGGTAGATAAGTAGTTGGATACACAATAATTTTGGATACAATTTTATTTTTGGATGCACATTCAATTGTTTATATCTTGTACATTGTCTGCCTGGGTTGTATTCAAATTTGCAGGTATGTATATATACAAACATTGGGTACCCTGTATAAACAAAGCGTCCATTTAAAAAAAAAAATAGACTTTCTACGTCGGTTCATACCATAACCGACGTAGTAAACCCGTACTCGCTTGAGTGACGAGTGTACTCGCTTGAGCGACGACAGCTTCAAACAAAGGGGACTCTCGGGTTCCATCTCGCTTGAGCGAAGAGTGGACTCGCTTAAGCGACGAAAGCTTCAAACAAAGGGGACTCTCGGGTTCCATCTCGCTTGAGCGACGAGTGTAATCGCTTAAGCGACGAAAGCTTCAACCAAAGGGGACTCTCGGGTTCCATCTCGCTTGAGCGACGAGTGTACTCGCTTAAGCGACGAAAGCTTCAAACAATGGCGACTCTCGGTTCCATCTCGCTGAGCGACGAGTGTACTCGCTAAGCGACGAAAGCTTCAAACAAAGGGGTCTCTGGCTCAATTTCGCTTGAGCGACGAGTGTACTCGCTTGAGCGACGAGTATACACTTTCAACGTCGGTATGAATAACCGACGTTGAAAGCCAAAACTTTCAACGTCGGGTATAGAGAACCGACGTTGAAAGTGTATACTTTCAACGTCGCCTTATACAACGTCGGTTGTATAACAGACGTTGAAAGCCTTATATAACCGACGTTGAAAGGCATATCTGTAGCAGTGTTATTTCTCTTGTTTTCTTTACTTGTTTCCTATCTCTTCATTACTTTTCTATATTACATTAAAGTATCATCACTTCAGAAAATATATTTTTAAAAAATTAGTTTATTTAGTATTTATTGACATAAGCACATTTATTTATTTTTAAACATCTAAAATTTTAAATATTCCTTTTGAAAAAACAATAAATCTAGTGTATGTTAACAAATAAGAATTTAATTAAAGTATTCATAAGAAATACAAATTCAACATATATTTTATTTTGATACAAAAGCTTTGGAGGTCTCATCTGTCAAAAAATTTTAAAAAATTATTAGTGAATTAAAATATATATATATATATATATATATATAAATTATTTTTATTTTAATTCTTAAATGATACGAGATTTCAGAAACGAAACATATTTAAATACTTTATATAGATTATTTGATAAAGTTACAATTTATTAAAAAACAATACACTAAACACATTTTTATTATTTTAATTTTCTACAGAAGAAAGAAGAAGGAAGCTAAAGAAACAGTCATTATTTTCTAAAAGCATGAAGTGAAAAAAAAAAATTAGAAAGTAATTTATTGAACCAAAGGAGACCTAACAATGTTGTGGCTACTAAATGGGTAGGAGGGTTTTGTGGTTTTGATGGATCATGTGGAAGGGTGGGTTTGAACTTTGATAGGAAGACCTTTGGGGAAATCTACATAAGGGTATACAAAAGGTTGATCCCCATCAAGAATTTCCCAGTCATAGTTGAGGACCAGATGGTGGATGAACACAGCCATTTCAAGTTTTGCTAACTCTGATCCTGCACACATCCTTGATCCTCCTCCAAAAGGCATGAAATTTTCACTTTTACTATTTCCCTGCATCTCCAACACATTGCCAAAGCAAAATACATGTTAGCACATCAAAACATTTGTACTCACTAGGGAGATTAAAAAGAAAAAAAAAACAGACAGATATGCACGTGGGATGCGAGGGCCCCACTTGCACACGAGTATTTATGATGTGGAAGGACAGAGAGGACAGGGCCATGGGCACACGTGCACAAAAAGAGGCGTGTTCAGCATCCTCTGGGTCCCACTACTGTTCCCAAGATCCTTTCTCCCTGATTACGACACTTCATCTCTCTACTCTACCTACTCTACTATTCACCCCCTCTCTCATGCTATGCTAATACCCTATACCCCATTTCAAACACAACTTCTTTTAATTCAAATATATTCGTAAAGTGTATATGACTAATATATATATATATATATATATATATATATATATATATATATATATATATATATATATATATATATATATATATTCAGGCATGCTCTTCTTTATCAACATGGAAACTAGTCATTTTAACTCAATGATTATTTGAGAGTGACCACTTTTACTTAACCGTTATAATGTTATGATTGTTTACAAGAGACGGGTAAGTATAGAAAATATTGATTGTGACAAGGAGCATGACATGAGGGGTAGTTATGGTGAGTGAAGTGAGTTGGATGTTTTATAATTTTGGCTCGACGAGGTGTGTAATATTTAAGAAAATCCAGTGGAGTGGAAGTATCTATCTATCTGGTTAGGAAGACTAAGTCAACAAGGAGATGAAAAGATGAAGTGTTCTTTTCAGTTTCGTCAAAGCTGTACGGCGTGTCTTCCTCATGTGGGGGCCTGATTCTGAAGCGCCGAATGTAAAGTATTATGTGCTAGAAAGGAAGCTACAAACCCAAGCTAAAAAAGTTACCTATAACATACCTATACAACCAGTTTTTTTTTTGTTTTTCTTTCCTTCCATAACAACACTAACTTAATTTCTAATGCATATGTTGTTTTCAGGAGAATGGAGTAAAGTAGAGAGATCAAAATCAGTTTAAAATACATTATTGATGTGTTTCATTATAAAAAAAAATTCGAAAATAAGACAAATGGAGGAAATAAGCATAACATTATTAGATTTTTTATTTTCTTCTTTACAAAGATAACAAATCTAAATCCATTCTAACGATATATATATATATATACAAAAATGAACGTAAGTGTGACTTTAATATGTAAAAGTATATTAATTAAAAAACATGTTTTTAGTATGAATATTGAAGAATTCTTAATTATTTAATTAATTATTATAATAATTAAAACGTATAAAAGTTAAGATTGAAGTGTCCAAAATGTCATTGTTATGAATATCTGTGCTGTCTAGGCTAAGATTAAGACTATAACCAAGTTTTGGCAAAATCTCAACCCCCATCATGGATTGAATTTTGTTCATTCACGGGCCACATCTCCCATGAATGGAGTGATTGCATGTGGTAATCCACAGCAAGCAGCAATTGATTTCAAGTGCTAGGGAATGGGGACCTCAACTTAGAGCTTAAATAATCTTCTCTCTCTATATATATAACACACTCTTTTCTAACACACTCTTTATAAACCTTGGCTTTAGAAAAGAAAAAGAAAAGATAAAAATAATGGTGGAAATGAGTGTATAGTACTAGTGTACAGTTTTAAATAGAACTTACCTGCCATCTCCATGGATTGAATTGGTGAGGCTGGTCAAAAAGTTCAGGATCCAAATGCGCAGCTGAAATCACCGGAAGAACTTTCCACCCACATGGAATGTCATAACCTTTCAAACACAAACACACATTTTCAATACATATATATATGGCCTTGGATTTCTGGCACCTTTCCCTTTTACTATAACTCTTAAGCCAACCTTTCCTCTTCCGTTTCCTTTCTTTCAACCAAATAAGTACACAAAACAGTGAAATACTGTATCCTCCAATTTCTCACCTTTGTACCGAACATCCTTAATAGCCTTTCTGTGAAGGTACCTCACAACATTCCCTAGTCGAAGTGTTTCGTTCAAAACCTTCCCAAAGACAAAGAAAGAGCAATTTATTATTAACGTATACATAGATTGACTGTACATCTGATTTGGAAACACGTAAATGTTGAGCTTCATATCCTTTATATTATAATACTTTTTAAAAAACATAAGAATTATTGGTATTATTACTTTATAGAAAAGGAGACACAAAAGGACAGAAAGATAAATCCCAATTTGTTTGTGATATGTGTGACTTACACAGTGAGTAAACTCCATTTTTTTGTAATCATCCCAAGTCAATTCAACATCCCCTGTCTTCTTCTTGGAAGTGACTATTTCCACGTGTTCCTCCTATTATTTTTCAAGAAAAATATAAAAATAATTATGGGTTAGGAGTAAAGTTAATCTTTTTAAATTTTGTGGATGCAAGCCGTTGTCCTAAGAAAATACTCCACGTATCATCATCTTGGTGCATGCTTACCCTTAATTGTTGCATAGCTCGAGGACAACCAGGCAAGAAGTAAATAGCTAGAGCTATGGCTACCGACGAGGTTTCATGGCCAGCAAAGAGCAAGCTTAATATCAAGTCAAGTATTTGTTCAGTTGAAAGATTTGTATGCCTCAAAACCCAGTTTAGAAGATCATTCTCTTCCTCCAATGAATCCCCCTTTTGAACCCTCTTGGCCCTCTCTTCCATTTTTGCCTCTATGAACTTCAGAATGGTGGATCTAGACTGTATAAAATATAGTAAAAGAAAGTTACAATATTAAAAGTTAAAAATTCAGTACCATTAACTAATTATAGGAAAAAGGTGTTCTCTAAAGTACTAATATTAAATATTAATTGACTAATATGGTCACCTTTAATGCTTTCCTGTATGCTGTTCCTGGCAAATTCAAAGGAGCAGGAGATACAACACCCTTCATGAAAGAGACATATTCTGTCTTCAATTGTTCTGTCTCGACATTCTCAGGATCCAAACTCATGATATGTTTCGCCATTAAATTGAAGGTAAACTGCAATTTAGTTTATTAACTAATTAATAAACTAAAGCAACTTATAACCAATTCCTGAGCTAGCTCCGAGAATTATACCATTAATAAAACAAAAATAAATAAAAAATGTGTCGACAGAACTAGATAGTTACTAATAATAAACAGTTACCCTTTTAGCTTCTTCTTGAGCTGAGAATGTATAATTATGTTTCCACGAGGAAATAACAAGAAGGGCATGCTTATCGACGTCTTTGACCAGATGAGTTCGGATCCTGGTATAGCTGAGAAAGTTGAGTGATATGTTCCTCATGTCTCTATGCATGTCCCCAACTAAGACCAACATAGACCATTTCCCAAGTATTCCCCCAAGGCTCTTAGGATAATTGGTCTCGAACAACTTCCCTTCGTTCTGCAATATCAACCTATTAAGCCCCGCATCTGCTGACACTATGGCTGGCTCCCCAAACAAGTTCGACTTGTAAATTGTACCATACCTGCGCATGTTGAACAATGTAAAAAAAAAATTCTTTTCAATTTTTGTGCTGTGTTGGTGGGTGGTTTTTTTACCTTGCTATGTGCTTCTCCATAAACTCTCCTAGTGTAAGAGCTCGGTAAGGCTTCAAATACCCTATGGTTTCCCCGAGAAGGGGCCACCCCATTTGGCCACGGGGGAGATTAAGGGCTGGTTTCTTTCTTTTGGTGAAAATGAAGGTGATGACTATAAGAGCAAGGATGGAAGAAAGAAAACAGAAAGTCAGGTGTGAGTCTGACATGGAGCTAGCCTGTCTGATTCTTTCCACTTTCTTCTCTTCTGACTCTCTCTCTCTCAATATCTATAGGAAACAAAAAAGAAACAAATGAAAGTTGCATGTGCAGTGTGCAACAGGATGAGGAAAAAGTTTCACACTAGCTAAAAAGGAGGCTCCATTTTTTATCGTAGTGAAATCACAAAACAGGTGTTTCAATGGAATCGAACCTAATGAAAGTGTGAAGCCAAGGGGGGCTTTTATAAGCTTCTCTTCTGTCTTTAAGCAGAAAAGGAACAGCGGAAAGTAGCAAAGAAGTAGGCTTTTACACTTGGAAAACATGCACTTTACCCCTCCATTTTTATTTATTATGTGTAAATCCATGTTTAATAACTTCTCACTCATTTCTATGAGGAGTAATGATATAAGGTACCAAGTCAGATTCTTACAACGATACGGATGCAGAGATGCAATAATTTTTTTCAAATTTAAGATCCCATACACTATGGATATATTAAAAAACATTATATAAATATAAACATTTTTTACTAACTGATAATTCTGATGATTATCATTACATAATTATGATGATTCTACTTATAACCCCAATTTTAAAAAAGACATTCATTATTTTACTATTTAAAACTATTCAAATTATATCCAAAACAAATAAAAAAATCAAATAACAGTATTCTAAAAATATCTTTAAATTAAATAGCAAATACTAAGTACTTGTCGGCTCCACATCTGAAAATATTTGAAGAATATTGATATCCACATGGATAGAATACAGATATGTTTTTATTTTTGAAGTATTTGAACTTCATAGAATAAGGCATTCATACGTGCCAACGCCAACAAGTAATCTTAAGAAATGCAAAATTATCAATTTTTTTTATCAGTTATCAAATTTCAATATGCGTAAAAAATACTTTTTTTATATGATTATAACACAAAATATTTATTTAACTAGTGTCGTTAGGAAAATAATTAACAAAATCATATTCTATCATGAAATTTGTAGAGTTAATATTGAACGTGTGAATTGACTAACATTACTCTTTTATTTTATACTTCACGTATTCTATGTACATATCTGTTTCTATGTATATATAATTTTTTCGTTTTGGAGTTAATTTTCAACGTGTTATAGTTATGGCTAAAGCCACTCCATCTAAATTTGGAAATAACATATTGTTATTTCTCTCAGTCCCCCTGTTATGATCTTCTAAAGAATAGGCTTAAAGTATGCAAACATTTTTAATGAATACTTCTCCATCCTCAACGCACCTGCTAGTAGATAAATAAAATTATTTGCGTGATACCATTATGGTATCTTAACACATTATTACCTTCCTAAATTAATTCTTCTAAGAGGAGCCAAATCCAAATTAGCATCTATTTTTTAAAAACATATTCCACACTTTTATTCTTCATGGAATATATTGTTTCAACTAGTAATTTATTTTCAAAATAATTTTTTATATCAACCAAAATACAAGTCGTGTTATTTCTTAGAATATTACCGTGCGTGCATGTACTGCTGGAGTGATGCATTAGAGGAGCTTGTATATATTAAGTAATAATTAACATTAAATTTTAGTTAATAATAAAATCATAAAATAATTTCAGAATAATAATAGCAATTTAAATGTTACACCTCATTGTCTGCAAGATGAGTTGTAGATACTATACTCAGGCATTACATTATGTGATTTGGGGTTGCGTTGAATGAACAACTCTTACGTTGAGAATGATATACATGTAATTAACTAATTAAATATACATGTAAAATAATGAAATAATATATTTTAGTGATATCGATATAATAGATTTGATTAGATTAAAAATATTTTTCAGTGATGTTTTTTTAATAAATATTAATTAAATTATTATCCAATAAAGTTTGTACAAATATTTAGTTAATATTCACAATATTTTTGTTAATTAATATTAATTAAAATTATTTTTTATATGGGACATAATGATTTTAATTGATATTATTTAGGATTATTATTTAATGTGGTTGGTCAACGTCACTGTTAACCAATTTTTCTAACTGATGTAGGTTTAAAAATTCTTTCAAGTGATATCGGTCAAAATTATAATTAAGGCTATTCAAAAAATTTCTCTATCAATAAATAAACTTCCTCGGTCTATAAAAAATAATAATAACATTTATTAGGTCGACATACAAATAATTTCTATAAATAAACTGATGGACATTTAAAAAAAACATGAATAATCGAAAAACAATCTTAGTAATGTTACTTGATATTATTTAAATCGACTAAAAATAATTTTGAAAATATATAAAAAAAACTTAAATGTGAAATACAACTATAAAATAAAATTATCTCCCCCACGTAGTTAGAAAAAATCTGACTAAATTGAACAATAATTCTACCAATATCACGTGACTAAATTAAACCATTGTGTCTCAATCATAAGTGAGGTGCCAAAACCTTAATCAAAATCGAATCAATAAAATAATATATATATATATATATATATATATATATATATATTAATTATAGAAAAGGTAGATTATAAAGAGTTTTAATTTTTTTAGGTGAATTTTAAAAGTTCATAATTTTAAATAATCAAATTATTTTAGTAAGTTTTTATAATAATTTCATTTTGTCTAGAACAAATTTTATTCCAATAATATATTTTATGATAAAATATTTTAATTTTTTTATAAAATTGTCTTACATAAATTTTACAATGAAACCTACTATAAAACAAAAGAGTTATGCTCTAAAAAACAAAACAGTAGCAATTGTGTCAGATTAATAACTTTCATAGGTCTTATTCTTTGTTCTTATTTTATGAGAAGTTGACATAGAAAACACTACTATAAAGAAAATCATAAGTTAGCGTGTATTTCAATGCTAAAAAAACATATTAATTAGCATTGGTTTCACCTCGAATAATATTACCTAACTGTAGCACTGATTGTGATTGTGTCATAAAAAAAATAGTTTATAACTCAGCTCCCTGTGACCGAATTCTAAACTAGATTATTTAGGGTGAAAAAGTAGACCATGGTAGATAACAAAAAATAACTTGAAGGATAAATAACTATTTCAATATATCTAGCAAAAATGATCAAAGCTCACAAGTTAAAAATCTAGCGGGTGTTAAAAACTGTGTCTTGCATGGTATTTAAACATAGTATATGATGCAGTAAATGCACAATATAAGAATATAACAATTAAAAGTAAAAAAATTTGAAATATTGATCTATGAGTAAAAAATACAAAAGTTTAAAATTAACAAAAAAAATTATGAAAATCCAAAATAAAGTTAAATTCATTTAAAATTTATATAAAATATCAAATTGACATATTTATTTATGTTATTCTACAGTTACCAAAAAGGTTATTTTATCAGACTGTTGTTTGATAATTTTAGTTACGAACTAAAATTTTAGTTTAAATTAGTGATTAATAAATCAGAATTTTAAAACCAATTTATTAATTTATTTTTCTTTGTATTTTTGATATATTGCTCTTTTATATTTATTTGCTTTGGGGAGGGGGAAGTTTTGCAGGTTTGCATTGCAGAGGTAGTAGAAAGACTGGTGGCAAAGGATAAGACGAAACGAATGGGACGCGGAGGAGGAGCCGTGAAGACTAAAAAGTAATAAATAAAGATAAGAAAAGTACAATACAAAACAAAAACCAAAGAAAACCACTCGTGCGGGTGGGAAACATAGCCAATCATGTCACTACAATCCTATCATAGATATGTGTGAGTGTTTTAGAGTGTGTGCAACAACATGGTCAAAATGTAGTACTCTGTTTCTACATATTATTTATTTATTGGACACACCAACTCTTCAAAATCTACTCCTTTCATCTTCACCATCTTTATTTATACCACACACTCCACTCAACAAAAGATGCCATTAACTAAAACAATAATTGGGAAATGAATATTTAATACAAGGTTCACGTTCATTAAATATTCTGTTTACACTAATTATTAACCTAAATTTACCTATTTTAAAAGAATATTACTTTTAATATTTTCACCAATTCAAAACAACAAGTGTTAAATGAGTAAATATTTTTCAACCTAAATGTCATAAGAATGTAGAGGAATGAAACTGAAAATATTTAAGACACTGTGGAAATTGTTTTGATGTTAGCATCAATCAAAACAATAATGGTAGCAACCTGTATTTAATGAGCTCTTCATTGAAAGACGCAAAGTTGGACCAAAAGTATAATAAAAAAAAAAAACCATGTAACTTGATGACATTGTCATATTACTGTACTCCTTCAATTTTTAATAAATTTATTAAGTTTTGTATTAATATTTTTAATATAAAATTATTTGTTATCTTCTTTTACAATAACTATAATTAAAAAATATATAATTGATAAAAAATAATTAATTTAGTATTAAACTCCAAACATCATATATTTAAATTATTAGTGTTAACATATAAATATATATTTTTAGCTTATAAAAAAACAAATTTTATGAAATTAAATTAGGTTCAAATTAAATTCAAAGCTATGTTGCTAATTCTCTCTAGATTAGGATTGGTTGCAATCTTCTTCTTTTCATTGTAACAAAATAAGTTAGAAATTTAAATGCAACATCAGTGGGAACAGGAATAGGAATATGTATTGAAAAAAAAAAAAAAAAGAAAGAGAGAAAAGAGCAGAGGTAGGAGGAGGTGTGTAAGATATAGAATGAAGCTATGAAACAGAGAAGGCCTTTCAGGTAAATTGTCCCTGAGGTTTGTATATTCCATTTGCAGGGAAAGGACAAACGCGCATGCCATCACGATTCCACTTCTTCTTCTGGTTCTACTACTAACTACCACAAATAGTGATTTCCAATATTTTTGTCTTTTAAAATAATTTGAAATCAATAATAAAATATCTATCTAAATAAATGTAGTTAATCTTGTAATTCATCACTTATTTATATTTGTATCGTAATTATTTAAAATAAAAGAGAGTTACCAAAACCTCTCTCGATATATAACTCTATCAACAAGATTGTTT